CTCGGTCTAGATATACTATGTCTATGGTATGTCCTTTTCTACGTGCACCTCGGCTCCCACTCCTCAATACTCGGTCTAGATATACTATGTCTATGGTATGAATAAACAAGCGATATATCCAACATGGCAGTTCCCCCGGTTTCATTAAATACGCGAAATAAAAAGCACTTTTTGGGTGTACCGGCACCTTTGGGATATGTTGCTGGTGTTGGAAGAGGGTAAATTTTTTTATGTAACATATAATTATAAATAATCGAATAACTACTGAGTATAACTATAGCAATCAAGATGCAAACATATAGTTAACCTCTCTTTCTCTCCGCAGAGCTACAGGATTTACAACACGGTCTGATATCGGTCCCGCTCGAGATGCTAATGACGTTTCGTAAGTAGAAAAATACATTTCTTATTAGAAGACAACTCGACAAATGCAACATTCTCTTACAAATTATTATTTATTTTGAATGCAGAGACGATAGACACGCTCCACCCACGAAACGTGCAAAGAAGAAGGAAGAAGAGGAAGAAGATGAAGAAGATTTAAATGATAACAATTACGATGAATTTTCAGGATATGGAGGTTCCCTATTTAGTAAAGTAAGTAAAATTATTATTTTTTTTTTTTAGTTAGGTATGTTAGAGAGATAATACTATTCTAATAATTTCAGGATCCTTACGATAAAGATGACGAAGAAGCAGATGCAATTTATGAAGCTATCGATAAACGTATGGATGAGAAACGTAAGGAATACAGAGAAAAACGTCTCAGGGAAGAATTGGAACGCTATCGTCAAGAACGTCCTAAAATTCAGCAGCAGTTCTCAGACTTGAAAAGAGAATTGGTTAATGTGTCAGAAGACGAATGGAAAAATATTCCTGAAGTAGGAGATGCTAGAAATCGTAAACAGCGTAATCCAAGAGCGGAAAAATTTACCCCATTACCAGATTCTGTCTTAGCGAGGAATTTAGGTGGTGAAACATCCACTAGTATTGATCCGACTAGCGGTTTGGCCTCTATGATGCCAGGTGTGGCAACACCAGGTATGCTAACTCCCACAGGGGATCTTGACCTCAGGAAGATTGGACAGGCCAGAAATACATTGATGAATGTCAAGCTGAATCAAGTTTCTGATTCTGTGGAGGGCCAAACTGTAGTCGATCCAAAAGGATACCTTACAGATTTGCAAAGCATGATACCTACTTATGGCGGTGACATAAAGTAAGTGTATGATTATTACATATTTAATTTTAAGATTGTATAAACATTCTTATCACAATTTTTTTTTATTTCCATAGTGACATAAAAAAAGCCAGATTATTGTTGAAATCCGTCAGAGAGACCAATCCTAACCATCCCCCTGCATGGATCGCGTCCGCACGTTTAGAAGAAGTGACAGGAAAAGTTCAAGCGGCAAGAAATTTAATAATGAAAGGTTGTGAGGTAAATCCCACTTCTGAGGATCTGTGGTTGGAAGCTGCGAGACTGCAGCCGCCGGACACGGCGAAGGCGGTGATAGCACAATCGGTGCGACACATTCCAACATCTGTCAGAATCTGGATAAAGGCCGCGGATTTGGAGATGGAGATGAAAGCGAAAAGAAGAGTGTATCGAAAGGCCCTGGAACATATCCCGAATTCAGTGCGATTATGGAAAGCCGCCGTCGAATTGGAGGAGCCCGAGGACGCACGTATTTTGCTCAGTCGTGCGGTTGAATGTTGTCCGACTAGTGTAGATTTATGGCTCGCTCTCGCTAGATTAGAAACCTACGATAATGCGAGAAAAGTCTTGAACAAGGCCCGAGAGAATATCCCGACAGACAGACAAATTTGGACTACAGCAGCGAAATTGGAAGAGGAAAACGGCAATAAACACATGGTAGAGAAGATCATCGATCGCGCTATATCCTCGTTGAGTGCGAACGGGGTAGAGATCAACAGGGAACATTGGTTCAAGGAAGCAATGGAAGCTGAAAAGGCGGGAGCGGTGCATTGTTGTCAGGTTATCGTCAAAGCTATTATCGGTTTTGGAGTAGAAGAAGAAGATAGAAAGCATACTTGGATGGAAGATTCGGAAACTGTAAGGCATTATCTATTGTTTATATAATGAAAATGATACATGTGAAAATTAATGTCTATATTGAGAAATATATTTATTTTGTTACAGTGTGCTCAACAAGGGGCATTAGAATGTGCGAGAGCTGTCTACGCGTACGCATTAACGACATTTCCTAGTAAGAAATCGATTTGGCTGCGCGCAGCTTATTTCGAAAAGACATACGGAACACGAGAATCTTTGGAAGCTTTGTTACAAAGAGCAGTCGCTCATTGTCCGAAGAGTGAAGTGCTCTGGCTGATGGGTGCTAAATCTAAGTGGTTGGCTGTGAGTAGATTTACGTTTAAAATTTTAATTCGAGATAACTTTTTATTAATATCTTTTTCTCTTTTTTTTCATTTCAGGGTGACGTGCCGGCAGCCAGAGGTATCTTATCTCTCGCGTTTCAAGCCAATCCAAATTCCGAAGAGATTTGGTTGGCAGCAGTGAAGCTCGAATCCGAAAACTCGGAGTACGAGAGAGCGCGACGTTTATTGGCCAAGGCTAGAGCATCCGCTCCGACACCGAGAGTGATGATGAAAAGCGCTAAACTGGAATGGGCTCTTAATAATTTGGATGCGGCGTTGCGTTTACTCAAGGAAGCTCTCGAAGCTTTCGATGATTTTCCTAAACTATGGCTAATGAAAGGTCAAATCGAAGAACAGCAGGGTTATTTAGACAAAGCAATAGAAACATATAATCAAGCGGTGAGTGAATGCTTTTTTTACACTAATTTAATTAAGATACACAAACTTGTAAAAAAAAAATATCATATCTTTTTTTATATATTTATACACACAGATCAAGAAATGTCCAAATTCGATACCTCTATGGCGTCTGCTAGCGCAATTGGAACACAGGAAGAACCAAGTGACCAAGGCACGTTCGGTTTTGGAGAAAGCTCGACTCAAGAACTCTAAAAATGCAGAATTATGGGTAGAGGCTATCCGAAACGAATTAAAAAGCGGCGGCCCACGCGATTTTTCAAATATGCTAATTGCTAAAGCATTACAAGAATGCCCTACATCGGGCCTCCTTTGGGCGGAGGCAATTTTCATGGAACCACGACCTCAACGGAAAACTAAGAGTGTGGATGCTCTTAAAAAATGCGAACATGATCCTCATGTTCTTTTGGCAGTGTCAAAGTGAGTCGACATTTATTTGGAATATATACAAGTTTATATCAAGATTTATAAAGAATATATATGAGAAAAAAAGAGTTGTGAAAATTATACAGATTTTTCTGTTACAGATTATTTTGGTGCGAACGTAAGTTATCAAAATGTAGAGATTGGTTTAATCGAACGGTCAAGATAGACCCGGATTTAGGAGACGCGTGGGCATATTTCTATAAGTTTGAATTATTAAATGGCACCGAAGAACAGCAGGAAGATGTAAAGAAAAGATGTATTGTCGCAGAACCTCATCATGGTGAAAATTGGTGTAAGGTTTCCAAAAATATAGCAAACTGGTGTTTGAGTACAGATCAGATTCTAATAAAGGTTGCAAAGGAGTTACCTATTCCTACATAAAATAAAAATTGTTTTTGATATAATTAAAATGCTATGACAAAGTAATCATTGATTTATGTTAGTAACGAGTAAGTTTGTAAATAAAGTTTGTAAATAAAGAAAGAATCGATTAATTTTAATATTAGTGTGTTCGTTTTCATATTATATTTATTAAATATAATATATGAAATAAATTTAAATACATACATAAAATGCCACAAATACATATATATAAATATGTAGGGTGCGTTCAGAAAAAAACAAACGTTGAATACCAATCGTGATTGGTTCTTACTTCTAGAACCAACAAATCAACATCGAGTGTTGACAAGACGATGTTCAACGGTTGCGTCTTCTGAACGCACCTATTGCGTTTGGCGTGTGGGAGTTGACATTGTTAGGAATAATTGCACTCACGGAATGCGCTAATACTGATATTAATTCGTATAACTTTTACAAATGCTTAATAAAATAGCGTTTTTGAATGTAGCAGGTTTATCGCTCTCAGAGCGATTAATGACGTCATTGCATCGTCTCTGCCAATAAAAGGCTTAGTCTACGCGTACGCATTAACGGCATTTCCTAGTAAGAAATCGATTTGGCTGCGCGCGGCTTATTTCGAAAAGACATACGGAACACGAGAATCCTTGGAAGCTTTGTTACAAAGAGCAGTCGCTCATTGTCCGAAGAGTGAAGTGCTCTGGCTGATGGGTGCTAAATCTAAGTGGTTGGCTGTGAGTAGATTTACGTTTAAAATTTTAATTCGAGATAACTCTTTATTAATATTTTTTTCTCCTCTTTTTTTTCCTTTCAGGGTGACGTGCCAGCAGCCAGAGGTATCTTATCTCTCGCGTTTCAAGCCAATCCAAATTTGTTAACCCGTTCATTCGAAAACGTTATAATAATGAAAGACTAAACCACAGTATACTTATATACAGTAGGGACACACCGCATCGGCACCTTTGATCTTTTTCAACAGATCTTTAAGGGTCAATTTCACAAAGTCCAGTTAGATTAACCGACGGTTAAAATTAGCAGGGTTCGAAGCTTTCGATGATTTTCCTAAACTATGGCTAATGAAAGGTCAAATCGAGGAACAGCAGGGTTATTTAGACAAAGCAATAGAAACATATAATCAAGCGGTGAGTGAATGCTTTTTTTACACTAATTTAATTAAGATACACAAACTTGTAAAAAAAAAATATCATATCTTTTTTTATATATTTATACACACAGATCAAGAAATGTCCAAATTCGATACCTCTATGGCGTCTGCTAGCGCAATTGGAACACAGGAAGAACCAAGTGACCAAGGCACGTTCGGTTTTGGAGAAAGCTCGACTCAAGAACTCTAAAAATGCAGAATTATGGGTAGAGGCTATCCGAAACGAATTAAAAAGCGGCGGCCCACGCGATTTTTCAAATATGCTAATTGCTAAAGCATTACAAGAATGCCCTACATCGGGCCTCCTTTGGGCGGAGGCAATTTGTCCGCCATGTCTTTAGATTGCAGTACCGTATCAATAATATCGAAAACCTTTGTCATCAGTACATCTTTTTTTTAAATTTTTACAGATTATAATAAATTTTTTTCGAATAAAAATCAATTATTGGACAAAATGCGAAATCAGCAAGACGGTAACACAGTTTTGCAGATTATGTTTCACTAGATGTAATCACAATAATGGAGATATACTAAGTTCTTTATGTTGAACGGGATTGGCGTGACCTATAAAAATGGCCGTTTACAATGCGCAAGCAAATCTGCGCGGCTGACTTGAGAACAAAGGACTGTCCCTATTGTATGTAAATATACTGTGACTAAACGTTCTTTGGCTCGGCCGAACTCTGCGAAGATACCGGAAAAAGTGATTTTCCGCTGCAGTCTTTTTCCTCTCTCCGAGCCACAGATTCTAGCCTGGCATGTCCCGCGCTCATTGGCTGCTTCAAGCGCCTGCGCGAGCCATGCCATGAGCGTCATTCTATCCATGGTGTAAAAAACGAGGTGACGCATTCCCAACGCTGCGCACTCGTTCAATTTTTGAGCCAATCAGCGCATGACCCATTTTGCAAGAAAAGCAATATGGATGCTCCCGTCAGTGTAAAGCTTATAGCCCAGTGCTCGGATTTAGTTGCACATTTCGGCCCGATTCCGTGGCTCACGCCTATTGCCCCCCACTCACCGCTCGTGCGTTAGCGACGAGTCGCCAGATACGCGTAACTAAGGAGCGCGACGCTTTGTCTCAGGAGCGTCCATATATAAGAATGTCCAAATATAATAATAAGACAATATACATCGGGCCTCCTTTGGGCGGAGGCAATTTTCATGGAACCACGACCTCAACGGAAAACTAAGAGTGTGGATGCTCTTAAAAAATGCGAACATGATCCTCATGTTCTTTTGGCAGTGTCAAAGTGAGTCGACATTTATTTGGAATATATACAAGTTTATATCAAGATTTATAAAGAATATATATGAGAAAAAAAGAGTTGTGAAAATTATACAGATTTTTCTGTTACAGATTATTTTGGTGCGAACGTAAGTTATCAAAATGTAGAGATTGGTTTAATCGAACGGTCAAGATAGACCCGGATTTAGGAGACGCGTGGGCATATTTCTATAAGTTTGAATTATTAAATGGCACCGAAGAACAGCAGGAAGATGTAAAGAAAAGATGTATTGTCGCAGAACCTCATCATGGTGAAAAGCATATGCAGCTATGCAAATTTGTGTGTGATAAGCCTATAGCGGGGAGCACACACTTTTGCATAAGCGCATAATCATAAGCATAAGGAAATTGATTTGCAAAAGTGTGTGCTCCCCGTTTATCATCCGTCCTTTGATGCAACATATGCAGTAAGTAGTATAAATATAATTAATAAAATAAAATATAATATAAATTTAATATAATTAATGTTGAGGCATCGTATTGTTTGATATTTGCTTAATAATATGTATTATGATCATCTAGGAATCATGCCGACTTGTTGCATCAAAAATTGTAAAAGTCGCACCGGTGGAGCTACGAAAACGAAAGACATCAAATTTTTTCCATTCCCGCAAAATCCTGCATTAAAAAAGAAATGGTTCGAAGCTTGCCACCGAGAAGAAGAAAATTTAAACGTGAACAGCGGTAAATTTCATTTAAAAAATACATTTGTTATAAATGTTTGAAATATTTAAAAATAACAATCTATCGAGTTTGATTTTAATTATCAGAGAGTTCAATGAATCAGAATCGTCCATACTCGCATATGACATACTCGTATCATATGTCAAGAACGTGAGAACGTGATTTTTGCGATTTTGAAAACTTATGTGTAATTTTCAGCAAGAATATGTGAGCTACATTTCTCTTCGGACTGCATGGAAAAGAAATGGACAAAGCCACGTACGCCGAATACCAAGGCTCGATTAATGAATCGATTGAAGACTGGTTCGATTCCAACGCAATTGCTCGATTTACCAAAGCAAGATACAAATAGAATTAACAGGTGCAGTACATTGGAAGGTGATGAAACAGAACCCATGACGAAAAACATCTGGTAAGTTTGGAAGTGATCCTACTGTATGTTTTTCAAAACACTGCTTGTATGAAATTTTAAAAAATTCGATTAATTGTCTTAGATAAATGATTTTGTATCATTGTCATTTGTAATATATATTTCACACTAAATATAGTACTTTGCATGTTACAGTCGTACTGGAATCCCAACGTACGAAGAACTTGTAGCTTGTGCGAGAAATAATATTGTCAAGAGGCATGCCACATCTGCCGAAACTTCCACACATATGGAATGTAACAGAAAATGTACAGAAAGCTCACCGTTAGGATGGAACCATGTGTATGTATTAAAAAATAAAATACGTAAATAAAAAATAAATAAAATAGATAAGTAAAAATAAATAAATAAATAAAAAGAAAAAAAGAAAAAAAGAAAAAAAATAAAAAAATTATATATTTACAGAGATGTGCGTGAACCGGAAACGGAAATTGAAAAGCTCCAACGGCGCTTGAAGGAAGCTGAAGAAAGAAATAGGCTACTGTTATTGGAAAATAAGCAGCTTAGAAAAGCATGGGAAATGAAATCCAATGATCTTGAAGCCATGAAGAAAAATGAACAAAGAATTGGCCAGGATACTGCTGCTGATATATTACATGCCGTATTTACACCGGGCCAAGTAAAAAAATTGATGGCGCCGAACGCTAAGAGAATTAAATGGTCAGCAGATGACATTTCTTCTGCTATTGCCGTTCGGTCATTGAGTGGTAAAACGTACAAATATTTACGTGAAGTTAAGCAGTTACCGCTACTTTGCGAGTCCACTCTGCGGAATTGGGCAGCATCATTTGATACGAAACCAGGAGTTTTGAAGGATGTTTTGAAAATAATGCAATCAAAAGGAGAAGATTTATCTGTCGCAGACAAAATTACCGTTCTGACCTTTGATGAAATCTACATTTCAAACATATTGGATCTAGAACGCAGGGAACAGAAAATTTACGGACCACATAAAACCTGTCAATTTGTGATGGTCAGAGGTCTCTTTTCGAAATGGAAACAGCCGATTTATTACCAATACTCTCAGCCAATGATGAAGGACATTTTATTGAATATTATAACAGCTCTCCACAAAATCTATTATACAGTTGTAGCAATAACTAGTGATTTAGGACCTACGAACATAGCTTTGTGGAATGAACTAAACATAGGTGTTGGATTGTCGAAGTCACAGCAAGGCATGAAACAAGACTCCTCAGAGAAGAAATATTTTTTCGAACACCAGGCAGATAAATCTTTAAAGATTTTTGTCTTCGCAGATGTTCCTCATTTGATCAAGCTATTAAGAAATAACTTCATTGACTACGGTTTTCTTGTTGGTGGAAAAATATTGAATAAGCGAATTTTGAAAGAACTTGCACTGAATTCCAAAGATTTAAAAATTGCTTTCAATTTAAGTGAAAAGCATCTCGACGCCAAGGGACATCAGCGTCAAACTGGTGAAATTAGCGGCACAAGCTTTTTCTCGCCGAAACGCATTGGCCATTAAGTACTGCGGAAGAAAGGGATTTTTCTCGCAAAACAATTATTGGCAAGAACTATCGGATGTTTTTCTTCTGATTAATGACTAGTTCGATGTATTGAACAGCCAATCAAAATTCGGATCCCATAGCGGCTCGCGTGCTTATGAAGTGGAATTGGAACATCAAAATTAAATTTTGGGGAAAATGAGCCAGTTCATTTCCAACATGAGAGTTGGCAAAAAATCGGCTCTCCTACCATTTCAAAAGGGCATATTACTGACGAATGCTTCATTGAAAGAATTGCTGCCATATATAAAAGAAAAATATTTTTCCGATTTATTCATACTCGAATACATAATTACAAGGCGGTTATGTCAGGATGTGCTCGAAAACTTCTTCTCTTATTTAAGAGCAATGAGAGCAGCCAACGACCATCCGTCACCTATGGAAGTACAGCACAGATTAAAATGGTACATTCTTCGCAAACATTCTGCACAGTGCATATCGGCACGAGAGAACACCGAAGGTGACTCAAGCGCAGTTCCTTTTATGACAATGGAAGATATACATTGCACTGATTCGTACGAATTAGATTGTATCGAAGATTTTAATGATGATGATAATAATGATGATGATGTGGAAGCTGCATTGTTCATTCACAATGAAAAACTACACACTTCCGAAGTGAAGATATTAACAATCGTACACAAGACGAAGAAGAAAAAGACAAGGAAAATAAAGGTAAAAAATGCACATTTTTCGAAAAATCAGCTTGATACGCTCGCTCTATTACATCAGATATAATACAAAAGCAACTATTATATACTGTTTTACATTGTAGCACTGGAGTTATTATTAGTAATAATAATTTGTATATAAATAAAACATCAATACTTATTATAAGTATACTTATAATAAGTAT